GCCCTCCCAGAACTCTGCTTATGGCACCACCGTGGCACAGAGCATATTGCTCGACTGAGGTTTAGGACTGTGGCTGTCAGTTATCGTTAGCATCTGGCTGTATGTGCATTGCGAAATAGGGATACCAACAGGACAGTTGTTGTCTGCTTGCTGGGATTTGGCATCTTGTAGCCCTCTGATTTGGCAGCTTCCATGGTGCTTGGCAGCATATGGCTGCTCCATCAGGCATGGGAGCCTTGGTGAAAATAATACTTTGTGGTGGCGTGGACTTGACTGCTCTTAAAACAATTCCTGATAATTGAATGCAAAGTTCAGCTTAGCGTATCTTTGGAGGAGATTCAACAACTGTCTTTGGCAGTTTGGTCCCTTTTCTCTTTTAAATTCAGTCTTAACATATTATTTAATGCAGTATTTCACCTATATATTCCCTTGAGTCCTTCCTCCAGAGTGAACCTGCCCAGGTCTTTTTCCCAAGTTTTAGTCATTTGTGTTGCTCTCCCACTACACTCTCCCTGGTTTCTGTCTCTTACAGAGAGCACATTGCCCAACAGAGCAAAATATTTAGCTTTCAGCTTTGTGGCATTCATGTACCGATGCACCCGCAGTATAAAACAGTGGAACTGGAAATAGTTTATAACAGCCATTACTTTTGTAACTCTTTAAACTATTTCACACTTCATTTGGAAAGCTCCCCAGTGGTAGATGGCTGGAGTGGGCTTGAGGAAAAACTGAAGGGCACAGCTCTGCAAAAGACATTATTGGTGAACAGCAGTTCTCATGTGGTTTTTCAATTTTAGAAATAAACTATTCTATACAAACCTGAAAGAAAGTGGAACAAGGGTTTCTATGGTCTGTACCCTGAAAGCATTGGAAAAGTGTCCTTGAGTGGTGCTAGTTAGATAAGTAGTTACACACAGGATTCAGAATGTAAGATTGCAGACATGGTGTTCTCTGTGTTGCTGATCACTCAAACTGTAAACTATCTTTGCAGATTTTCTGTGACTGTATTGCATGTATCTCCTGATTGAAATGTTTCTATACCTATTTATAGATAGTTATATAGGTGTTTATCTTCCCACTACTGTGGTATTTATGTCTATCTGTTTGAAATATCATATGAGGTTGCTTTCTGTTTTTATTTCAATACAGATACATTCTCTTATTGGGTTATAACTTTCTTACTCTCGTTAATATCTGTTCAGTCTGTGTAATTACTCAATACATTCCCATTTTCTGTGGAGAAAATAAACCAAAAGAAGTCTCATCAAGATCAATACGATCTATAAAGGTAGAAGACAATTTGTTTCTTTTTTGAAGAGCTATAACCTGGGTAAGAAGTTCTCCCCCATTCCCCCAGTGGCTTCTGTATTTTTATTTATAAAACAGCCTGTGTATGTACTTGAGAGAAATATGACCTTAATATCTGAAACAGCCAAGAAAAACTACTAAAAAAAATTCTTGAAACTGATAAACTGTACGGCAGCTTGTCAAAGGCAGGTTGGGATAAATTGTAAATGCTACTACTCAGTCAAATAAAGAAAAAGCTGAAAAACCATCACTGATGGGGAATGTTATGCCATTAGCAAGATGGGTTGTCAAAACTTCTTTTAAGTAACTGTTGCAGTTGTGCCACGAATGCCGGAGGGGCATTGAACAAGTGAGAAACTCGTGGGTTGAGATAAAAACAGTTTAATAATGGAAATAAAATAATAAAAACAATAATAATAATGTAATAATAACAATAGTAATAATACACAAAGCAAGTGATGCACAGTGCAATTGCTCACCACCTGCCGACCGATTATAAATAAATTTATAGATTTATAAATCTTACCCCAAAGATAGGCTTAAGTCATATAACAATAAGAATCACTGTTAGGGAACCTGAAAAGTTAAATTCTTTATCATCTTTTCTGGTTGTGGATTTTGAAGTACTTTGTATATTGTTATAAAGTACAAAAAGTCTGCACATCACTGATAGCTTCAAATCTTCACATTTCCTTAATTGCTACCCAGGTAAGTAGGATAATTTGCTCCAGACTTATGGCTACTGTTGCAACTCAGAAACTGACTGGAATATTAAATTGACAGGCTGTAGAGGGTTTTAGAGGCTTTACTGGATCAGAGGTTTTTTCTGAACAAAGAAATGACATGCAATATCCTGCAAACTGGCTAAAACACAAGGTGAAAGCTGGTGGTGGATTTTTGCATTAACTTTCTTTCCTTCAAAAAAATCTCAAGAAAATGAGGGATGCTAGGTGTGGATTTTAATTTTAGCGTTAGAACTGGTAGGGCAGATGGTGTCTCTCAGGCAACAGCTCATCTGGCTCCTCTCCTGCTGTGGGCTTGAAAAGCAAGGACCAGTTCGTACCCTGACTTTCACCCACCCCACAAGAAGTTTACCATGTGCTTGCTCTTGCGTCACCCTGATCCCAGTACCCAAAGCTACACTCTTACAGATCTATCTTTCCGGAGACCAAGGTGAACACTATAAAATTAGATAAACTCAGTAATGCTCTTTTTTTTTTTGTTGTTAACTTGGACTAAAACAAAGTATAAGCACTAGGTAAAAAACAACCGAAAGTTGGTATCCTGTTCTCCCTTTCCCTCTCCCACTGGAGACTTGGCATCCTCATTTTATTTTAACTTTGCCTTTATTTCAATGACATGGAAACCAAATTGGCCTTTAAGAAAGCACTCTTTTAACCACAATGACTCTTACGCTGCTCTTCGGAAAACAGAACAGAGCTTTCCCTGGCGGTAAGTGTAGTGTCACCTCTACCCCTTTCGGAAGCTGATTGATCTTTGCTGTACTTCACGTGCCATCCTTCTGAGCTCCTGGATAATGACCATGGTCAGATGTTAGAAGAGTGGCCCCCACCTGGCCTCCCAAACCCTGAGCCTTCCAGCCAAAAAGCAGAAGCAGATAAAGGAAATGATTCATGGCATAAGGGCTAGATTTGATATCGTGATTTCTCATACATGTGCAGACACGCAGAGGTCAATGCTTGCTTTTTAATTTGATTCCTAATTTAAAAAAAACAAACAACCAACCACTGTTTGAAGTCATCAAAGTACATCTGATGATATAAAAACTCTTCTGCCCTCTAGTGCTGTGAAGCAGTGGGATTTCTTGAGATGCACGGATGTTTTTTGAGGAGAAAAATATGTAGCCTTGCAACTCACAATTCCAGCCATTTTTTTCACTGACAAAGGGAAGGGAGTGTAAAAGGTACTTAATAATTTTTGTGTATGAACTTGAGAGAAATATGACCTTAATATCTGAAACAGCCAAGAAAAACTACTAAAAAAAATTCTTGAAACTGATAAACTGTACGGCAGCTTGTCAAAGGCAGTTTGGGATAAATTGTAAATGCTACTACTCAGTCAAATAAAGAAAAAGCTGAAAAACCATCACTGATGGGGAATGTTATGCCATTAGCAAGATGGGTTGGCAAAACTTCTTTTAAGTAACTGTTGCAGTTGTGCCACGAATGCCGGAGGGGCATTGATGCTCTCTTAGCTTATGCCCTTGAGGGTCTGGGGTTCGGTGGAGAGGTGAAGAACAGTCTCACAGGCACCAGACTATGCTGGCAGGAAGGGAAAAGATCATATTAAATGGCACCATTAAAGCTCGCAGCTCTATCTTTACTAGTTTAATCTCATAAATTAATCCACATCCTCCTAGAATAAGTCTTCAAAGAGAAAGAGGTAATTGGATATAAATACTTTCCTTCCCAACCCCTGAATTACAGTGATACGGCAGCAGGCAGCTTTTTGCACTTTGATCTCTTTGCGTGATTTTCATTCCCCTTTTTAGCCTTAGTCTTGGGCCTCATTCTCTCATTGCTTTTCCACAGCCAACTGTGATCTCTCTGCTTCCTAGCTTGTCCTCTAGGCACCCCCTGTGGCCTTTTCTTCTTTTAAGAGGCTCAGCCTTCGTCCCTCATTATTCTTTGTTTTCTGCTCTTCTCCTTGGGCCTTCTCCACGATGAAGTCAGATGAAATATTTGTGCCCATGTGTGCAGATAAAACCCTGCCAAATGCTGCGGAGAGATGTGAGCTTACTCTGATACGTGGAGCCAACTGCTGCTTAGTGCATTTCTGGTAAACCTGCACCCCCATGGCTTAACTTCTCCTGAGCGGGAGCAGTGTAGACTCGCACCCACACAATACACCGTGTTGATAAAGCCCTTTGTTTTCTCCAAGTGGAACTGGCATGTTTTCATCACTCTTTTGATCACCTCAAGTCTCTAATACACTCTGAACCCTGTCCTGCCTCTTTGCTGTCACGTTAGATTGATAGATCCTTGAGACAGCAACTGCATTTTGAATTAAGTCTAGCAAAACAGGGCCTTTGTCCTGATTCAATGAGTCACACCTTAGGCATGACAGCAAGATATATATGCCCAAGGAATTCCTGGTGCCTGACAAACACAAGGCTGACAAGGAAACTGAGGCTCGGGCTGAGAGCAAGTCACCTGGGTCCATCACAAACAGTATGATTTTGTGCGCTCCTTGGACAACTTTTGGTCAGACTGCCTAAATCTAAGAGGTGCTTGGTGCCCTTGAGGTATGGGGTGGGACTGCCAGCCCCAGTGCTCTTCCCAGTAAACCATGGTCTTTCTCTGTGTTTGAACAAGCTGTGGAAGTAGTTGTCTACCACGTGGAACTGTTTGATTCAAGGAAGTGATTTGATTTGATTTGAAATGGCTGAGATTTGAGGTCAGCAGTCTAGAGTGAGACTTAAATAAGAAAAGTGAAGATTATGCTAAAAGTGTCTGAAAATGTTATCCTTGGTATTTGCAGCCAATTCCAAATATAACAAGTATTTCTAGAGTATTTACCAAAAAATCCTGAAGAGCTGAATCAAATACCGGTTTTGATATGTAGTTGTTTGCTACAACAGCAGAAAACTGACCTTGCTGATGAAGGAAACCCCTTCCAGTCCTGTTTTTCTGTAGACAGGAAAAATAAGAGAGTGTTCTCTTTCATTTTAGTGTCAACCCATATGTCTTGATAACTCCAAACAAAACCAGAAGAAACCAGTTGCAGCAAAGTAAGTTGAGTTGTCTAATATGGTAATACATTATTTCTACTTGAATAAGTTTAGGGGTTTGTGCGCTTTATCGCCCTTGCAACTTTTATCCTAATTTTTACAATGCTTTTATATGTGCAATTGTGGCAGTAAAGTCAGTGCTGTGAGCATTCTCCATCATTGTGTGGGCTTTTCTTAAGATTAACTTCTCATCTGGCTAAACTTCATGCGGAATAAGTCTTGTTCAGGAAAAGGTTTTCAGTAATTTCAGTGCTGGAGCTATTCTAGCTGGCTTCTACAAGACTCAGCTGGAATTAGCTCTATCCCACTTCTACAGGATTGAATTCAGATTAGAGAACCCAACTTTGAACGCTCTCTGGGTTAGGGGAAGGAAGAAGAAAAATGTAAGTAAGAAATATTTTTGAAAGTACTCTCATGTGGAGACTAAAGCAACTAGAACCACTGTTGGTTCTTGAATCTCCGTTTAAGGATTGTAGGTGGATCTTTTAATGAAGATGGGAAAGATCATTTTAGATGGAAAATATCTTCACTTCTGCTTGGCTTCAAGTCTTGCTGGTGAAAGTAGCTAAGCAGGAACACCCTGAGCCTCTACCAGAAATATTAGGCATGTATTAAAAAGCTTTCATTGCCGAAAGTTACAGCAAAAGAGCCATGAAATAAATTCTGTATGCAGAGGTGACCAAGCACTGCAGTCCTGCACTCCTGGCTGTTTATTTGTGCAAGATACGAAAGCTGAAGGAGTGTCAGTCAGCACTCCTCATGTTTTGAGCCCTCAAGGAAACAGTGCAATAAAAACATTTCTTTTCAAACATTGTGAGTTTGGCTGAAATGCTTCACCAGCAGGGTGCTGTAGGGTTGGGTTACCTTTGGTTGCGAGAAAGAAAATGGACTTCTGAACCAAACCATAATCTTCTGGAAGGAGGAATAAAAGCAGATCATCTTAGAGCTGACTCTGACGCGAACACCAAAGGTGCTGCTACTCTAAAAAAGACCTGCTTTCACTTTGTGCCACCAGCATGCAAAGTCTGAAGCATGCCAAATACTTCTGCCTTGGATGCTGGCAGAAATAGGGCCTCACCGAATCCAGTCTCTACCTAAGTGCTTGTTTTAAAGGTGAAATAACAAGCTGGTATCTCTCTTGGGCCTCTTTAGAGACTTGCCCAGGAACTGGCTTTATCATGTTAGAGGAGAGCTGGTGTTAGCATCTGTTAGCCATAGCCTACCATTAGAAAAAATGGTTCATGTTGGGTTTAGTAAGAGTCAATTGAGCTCTTAGAGCAACTGAGGTACTACTCTAAAACACAGCTCCTCTTTCCATAGGCTTTGTGTGCCTTCCTATTGAAAGGAATGTTGTTTTTTTTTTCTCTGTCAGTTGATTTGGGAGAGCAGTTTAATCAGCCAGCCACCCTAGAGCATATGGCTGGTGCCCCTGGCTGTATTGACTAGACTTCCACTGACTACACTGGGAGCTTGCCACCCATCTCACATGTGGACACCTATGTGGAAGTGTCTTAAACTGAAGCTGAATCATGCATTCCTCCTGTTTTTATTTAGGAAGCATGTGGTTAGGAGGGAAAATTACTTATTCTTCATTTCCCTGCTGGGGAGCGTTACACCACAAGCATTTCCCTACATGCAGCAATAACATCTTAATTGTAACAACTTCTGCTTTACCTGTAGGAGTAAATACTGTGGCATTTACCTAGAGGTTCCCAGGGGTTAAAAAGAAGTCTATTAGCAGTCCCTTAGCTGTTTTTTGTTTTGCTTTTGGGGTTGAGTCTGAGGGTTTACTCACCATACAGTCTCATGTTAGGCAAAATGTTTGCCTTGTCAGCTGATCATTGCAGTGACTGTGTAACCTCCTGGGGGTTATCTGCACCTCTTGAGAACAAGTTTGTCTGTTCCTGGATGGGTCTTCAGGGTTGCATACAATTAACGATACCGCCTGCTTTTTAGTACTGCCTCTAACGTCCATATGTTTGTTTCTTTTTGTACCTGCTCAGTTGCTAAGAAAGAGCTAGATGACCTGGAGCAGTGGAAGGAAGAGCACAGGCCAGGGCCAATTAAGTTGGCTCCACAGAGACTGGGTAAGACATGTAAATCAACTATTATGAATTGCAAAATTTTACTTTCCAGGACATACGACATTTTTCACTTTTTCTCACATGCTACTTATTAAAGAGATTCAGTGTCAATAAGGGCTTACATGAGCCTACTGTATGTGCTCTGTGCTTCTTGATGGTCATGGCAATGAAGAAGTTTCTGAAACAAAACAGCATAGATTGTCACCCAAGAAATCTGTCGAGATCAGTGTAGAAAATCTATACTAACATTTGGGAAGAAGAGGTGGATTATCCCTCCTGCTGGCAACGTCATCTGTGGTTGATGTCTATAAGGGGAAGCACACTTGGCATTAGCGTGCAGATGGACAGCGTGTGTTGGAGACCCTCCATTTACCCATAAGAAAACTCCTCTGTGTTAGGGGCCGGTACATATGCTTTCCTGATGGCTGGCTCCTGAAGAGGCAGAAGTGATCCCTGCAGCTTCAGGCATTTGCAGGCTAAATGTGCATGAGTCTCTGTATTAACAATTTTATAAAAATAACAACAGAGATAAGTAAATGAAAAACAAGATAAAAAGCTACAGGAACTTAGGTCACGCTGAATTGAACTGATGTATTTGATAAGATAGCCAACTTTTTTCCTAGACAAGTGAGAGGAACTGTAGTGCATCTCTTAAATTGTAACCACTATAAAGCACTTAATTTAGTGCTATTTGGGAGTTAATTTAAAAAAAATTAAAAAGACCAAAAAAACCCCCAATACACCTCCAGTCTTGTACAGAGAATAGGGCTGCAGGTTGTGCTGAAGCAGGAGGAAGGTTATTAGAAGTGCTTTTCAAGTACCAGTCTTCAGACCTATCTTGTTTTAGTATCTCTCTTTAATGTCTTTGGCACAAAAAGTAGGAGAGAGCTGATGAAACTTGCTGACAAGACAAAATTTGAAAGCATCATCCATATAGAACATGATGAGGATACTGTGCAGCAAAAATGGGATGACCTTGAGGAACTGTACTAATAGAAATGGGACAAAATTCATTCTGACAAAGTGAATGATTATCATGATGCCTTTATTAGTTTTGTGAAACTAGAGCTCCTCTTCCTTCTTTTGGCTGTGGAAGGAGAATTTGGGGTACACAGTGCAGGCTATTGTCTGCTTGACCTGGAAACTAAGTTCTTTCTTTGCCGTGCTATACAAGATAAGTTTGGGGTGGTTTACTGTGTATAAAAATAGATACCAGGTGGGAGATGGAGGAATTTGAACTGGCCTCAACCAAGATTTGTTTCTGGGGTCAAGGTGATACTGATCCCACATGTTTCTTTTGCCCTGCAGCCTGAGTCCCAGTTGTTTGCCGTGGTGAGCCTACCTTTGCAAGTTGGCGTAATGCCCTGTGTTCCCACCATCATGTAGCCAGACATGCTCTTTGTGAGTTCATACATACTAGCTGCTTCTTGCCTGTGTAGTTCCTAGAAGACATGCTTCTGTCCCAAGAGGACCACAAAGCTTTTTGCTGAAGAAAGTGAAATCTGAAAACAGAAAGTTGGTGTGTGGTGTCTATGCAGAATGTGCGCAGGCTGGCTGCGTGACTGGGAACATGGTGGCAAACCCACAGTGACTAAGAGTGTGGGGAGTCTTAACTTCTTCTGGCCCCACTGCATTTAAAAACTTTTCTTGGGAAAGAAGCAAATTAAAGAGAAAAAAAAAAGAAGCAAGAAAAAGCTGAAAGAATTCAAGGAGGTTATATGAGCTCTTCAGTCACTGTCTAGCTGCCACTTAGAAAGACCCCTGGAGACTGAGGCACGTGCACTATGTTCAGTGCCTCTGAAAAGAGGTAAGGTGCAAAGATTATTAGATCTTATCATTCCCACAGGAACAAATTTGGAACAGAAGAGAGCTCAAGGAAAGAGAAAAAAATATAAGTGGCATCTCTAATTTCACAACTGTAGGTACTCATTAAGGTAAAAAAGTATCCTATGTTATTTTCTCAGAGTGATTTTAAGACACTACACATCTAGTCCAAATCACCAGGGAATTCTTAAAGTTGAAGTTTCTTAACACTCATGCTTTCCATAGGGAAATAAGTATTCTGGATTTCAGCTCTGTAATATTTGACTGGCAAACTTTCAGGTACCATAGAGGGATGAGAGCAATGAAGGATGCAAGTTCCACCCTCCTCCGTAAGCAATGAGTGGAGCAACAAATCATGCCTGATAAATGCAATGGCCTCTTTTTCAATCATATTATAAAAAGCCAGTCACAACATACTCTGACTTCAGTGAAACATTTAACACATTACAGCCAAGCCAACTTGAATGAATTAAACCTGGCTGAAAGGCTATAGGCAATGGCTAATAAAGATCAGTAAAATACTTGCTTAGAGCCAACGTCCAGCAGTTCATGCAGAAATGAACAGTGAACACGAGTGTTAAAAGTTGCTAATAAAAGGCTAGAAAGAAAGAAAGATCAAGCATCCAAAAGGTTTCAAAACTTGTTTAGTAGCAATTTTATTTCCTAGACCTGAGGAGGAGACACTCTACAATGCCAGCTGTATGCTTACTGCTACTGTAAGCTTGTTGCTTGTATACTGTATGGCCAGTCTTTCTTGCGAGCTTAATCTTATGGAGTTATCTGTGTGCATAGGAATGTTTACTCACTTAGGGAACTGATCTCCCATTCACTGAACCTCACAAAAGCACCTAAAGATTAGTTACCTTCCGTTAGTAAGTGGAGAAAGCTACTTTTAGTGAAGGGTGATCCTTCCTGAAAGATCTAGTATAGCTGTCTTACATTTCAGGCACCTCAGGTAGCACAGATTAGTCCAGCTGTTTCTGTAGAATTAACAGTTAGATAGTGGGGAAAATCAGTAGGTGAAAATACAGCCCTCATCCTCAAAATGGGGTGGGGGCTGCTGTTGTTTTTTCTGTTGTTTTTTGCAACAACCAAGGGAATGAATTACTGGCTTTCCCAAAGCAAGAAAATACTTTGGAAAATAGTGGAGCAGAATAATAGAATCAAACCCACTCCCTCCATCCCTTAAGACCTATTACCACTTTCTCTGTGTGTTGGGGTTTTTTTGTTTGTTTTGTTTGTGGGTTTGTTTTTTTTTTTTAATTGAAGGCTGAACATTATGGCCAGAGGTAGAGATGTTCTCAAGAGAGAGCCTGTGCCTTTGGAAAGGGCACCTTCTGCTACCTGGATATGAATATGAGGTCTGTGGGAAAAGGCTTTGATTTCTATTTCAGAAAGGGGATTCTTCCTTGAGCCCCAAGCCATTACTTAGAAGATATTCAAATGATAGCATCCCACTAGAGCTGGCAGAGACTCCAAGCTCCTAAATTTGATAAAAGAGAAACTTTTTGGCAATAAAATTTCTGACTCTGTATGCGTGTGTGAGATAAACTGAGCAAAGGTGGGGAGAGCTGGATCTTAAAATGAAGACTCATCTGCAAAGTGTGACTGATTTTCTGAAAATGGAATAATTCCTCAGTGAACTGATCATATTGCTGGTAGAGTGGGTGATACCGTGGATGCTCTGTAAATAACAAGCTAGCGCTTTTGACGGGTGGATAAAATGATCAAAAAGGTCTCCTGTCTGTTCTCTTTAACGTCAGACAGCTACTGTAATTATGAAAAATTTCCTGTGTATACATACATCCAATCTGTTATATTGCTCTGTTCTGAAATGACTGGCATTTGAACTTAAAATGCTCATGGAAAATGCAATTTATTCTTTTTTTTTAAGGTGGAAAGGAATCAGAGGCTCAAGCAAGGCAAAAACAGCAAATGATGCTCATGCAATCTAAATACCAGCAAAAGGTCAGGAAGAATAAATTTGTTTATTTTAAGAACTCAAAAAAAAAAGCTTTTCATGAAGTGTTTCGTATGGCTATAAAATGAACTCACAGCTGCTTGACAAAGGAAAGTCATGAAACCTGAAGGATGCAGCAGAAAACTAGAAACAAACGTTCTGCAGCAAAGAAAATGAGAAATCTGGCTATAAATATGTAGCAACCCATATCACAGATCATATCTAAAATGATAACCAGTACAGTTGTAAAGCCACTTATATGCCTCGCTGTATCTCCCGGCAGGCTGCCTACACTTCGACTAGTTGATCAATGTACCACCCCATCCAGTGCTTATGTAGAAATGTTGTTCCTGTTATAAAAGGTATAAATGCTTGTAAGTTATCAATCAGCTGTGTGATTCCTTGCATGGATGCCCATTTATCAGTCCTAGATTTCTCAGTCTTTGTAAAGCCAATATTGGAGTAGTTGCTGCATAGCCTGCTTTATTCAGTGCCTCATTTTAAGAAAAAACTCTGGAAACTTTCCTCAAACACAATTTAGGTTTGAAAGATGTGTAATATGGGAGTCAAGTCAAGTTACCTTATGTGTTCTTTGTACACATACACATGTAAAATAATTTTCTATGTTTATGTCATACAGCACAAGAGAGAAGAATATGTAAAAGCAAAAAAGGCAGCTGAAGAAGCTGAAATCCTGAAAAAGAAAGCAATTCAGAGAGAAAAGGTAAACATGGTTACTGCAGAGTTGGAGACATAACAAAGTTCATGTCTTAACGCTTCATTTTGCTGAACTACATGGAACAGGCTAATTAAATTAAATGGTAGCCCTGGATTGCATCAAAGAGTTAGGAAATCCAGTCCTCCTTCTCTTTGTAGCTGACTGAAGGATGCCTGACGTGGTGTTCTTTGGGGCTTGAGCGTTCCTTTGGCTCTTCAGAAACTCCGGCCTTTCAGTTGCATCCATCCTGAAGACTCAGCAGAAAGGGAGAACACGAGGGTCAGGATTAATGTTGTGTATACAGGTTATATAGTCCACTTTGGCATGAGCTCTCTCTGTAAGATCAGATTGTGGCAGGTGGCACAAAGACCTTATAGAAATCCATAATTGCCTGCTATACACATGAGAAGAATACAAGAAAATCCAGCCTGTCATGGTGGAAAAGGCATCCAAATCTTGAAAAGGTCAGTGTAGTCTATCTGCATTGTGCTGAGCGCACCCTGAAATTCAGATGCTGCTCCAGCCCCTCTGGGGCTTGCACACCCAGGTGTATTGCTAATATGTAAGATCACTTTTCCTTCTAATATTCACCATATATTGACACCAATGATAGCTCACTTTCAAATCTTCGGTTTTATTTTGCGTTTGTTTGTTTTTTTCTGGTTATTCTCACAAAGCATCTTCTCATCCTGTGTGCTGCATAAACCTTTGTAAAAGTTCATTCACGTCTCCTTGGTGGAAACCAAGTAGCACTCGCTTGAGAATGTAACGTGGAATTTAAATGAAAAAAGAAAAAAGGGGGAGCATGATACTGATGTGCACAGTAGTAATGAGAGAAAGGGAGATTTCAGGTTTGCAAGTTTTGTCTCCACAACAGTAAAAATGATCTTCTATGCAGAAGCTGGATGCTGAGAATTAACTAAAAAATCATCACTACTGGATGGCGTACAAGGGCATGCATAAACAAAAATAGCCTTAATTGCCTCTAGGTAAGGGTTAGTCTGTTCCCAGTCTTTCAGTGGTTAGTGTTACTCTTTGGGGATAAGCCCATACACAATAGCTCACAGGCACAATAAATATTATCATGTGAAAATGTCATTAACAGTTACCAGCTCATGTGTAGCTCCAGAAGCAGTGATGATAGCAATGGTAGAAAGGGGATTAATTATATTTTATTCACCTATTAAATATATGTTGTTTGCCTGTGGGCATTGGACAAGAAAAATGTTGCAAGACTGCTCTAATTTATAGTTACACCTAGAAAATATATTGATGTATCAGTTTTGTTTTCATGCTCTTTAATTTTCTTACCTTCACTCCCATGGATTATAAAATCTTTATAGATGTTGGAGATAGTAAAACTGTAGCTATCAGTGTCTTCTAAAGGAGGATGCAACATCATGGCAAACATCTTTGCCAAAAAGACTGTTTAATTTGAATGAATAAACATATACCCACAAAGCAAACAAACAAAACAGAGAAGCATGAAAGGGAACTCTTTGAATTTTTTTATTCGGGTTGTCTTCCATAATAGTGATTGAGCTGATGAAGATTTCTGCTTGGAAGATGTTTATATACTAAAAATTCAATTCTGTGTTTAAGAAAAGCATGCTGGAAAGCCACTAAAAGGTGTCAATTTGGCTAACTCACCCTGTCTGCAGATGAAAGGCTCCCAAGAGCTGAGGATGACAGGAAAGGAATCCTAAAGAACTAGTACTGTACGACCAACGTTGGGCCCTGGTTACCGCAGGAGAGGAACTTTTTTTTTGAAGTGATAGATTTGTAGACAACTGCACCTGCAGGGCATCGGCTGAGAGCATGTCTTTCTGCAAATTCACAAGCCTTCTTTTCTTGCTGGCCAGTCCTTCTTTTGCTCAAGGTTATTATTCATTCAATAAAAAACAAATTGTCTGACAGTCTGAACGGAGATAATGGCTAGCCACCTTTATCAGCAGGGGCCCTGAAACTTTCACAGCTGGGGAGCTACTTTGCCAACAAACGCGAATGGTGAAGCCCTACAGACTAATGCGCAATAACTAGAACGGGTGCTGGTACTCAGCTCAGTTCTTCCTTGGTTGTAAGGACGACCTACGGTAAGCCAGTGCTGCTTATGAACATTGGATCTGTTTATGTTACTGCTTTAATGGTGGTTTTGCAGAGAAAAGCAGTATCCGCTCTCCCGTTATCTTTGTGACCAAGAGAGAACTGGGTGTCTGCCAAAGCAGTATCCAAATGTGGAAGGTCTGCCTTACCATCTGTACAAGTCCACCTGCCTGTCGCTGTCATTCTTTAATTAACCATGAGGTTAGGTGCTGGAATACCAACGCTCTTGACATCTACCTTGTCTCCCTCCAGCTCTCAGAGAGAAGAAGGGTGGATCCTTCCCCCTCATTCCGTGTTCCACAGGACCAGTTTGTGTGAACTGGTACTCGAGTCTCCATGTGTAGCAGTGAATGGGATTTGGGATCCTGTGCACTCTATATCAGGCAGCTTGTCCTGGGACTGCTTTGATTTGTTCATGGGATAACCCTGGCCTGCATGAGTTTGGATTTTCTTCTAAGCTAGGGATTGCTGAGTGCTCACTGAAATAATTTTGGAGAAACTTTGTAATGTTAGCAGGGGAGTCCCTATTTCTGTATTTGTCCCTAGTGCTGAGATGCGTGTCTGATCTGCAGAAAGTGTGGGAGTACATGGGAAGTAGCATTATTATTATTTGCTCATTAGTAGCAGGCATCTGCAGTTGAGTGTCTTTTGTGCAGCCCTTCACATCACAGATTTTGACCAGACCGCACCATAACTTCCTTTGTGTCTTTTGGGTGAAAGGACTGTCAGAGTTCCCAAGAAAATAAACAAGTGGTTGATATTTGGCTTCTTGTTTTTTAAGCTTTCTGCATTTGTGCTGTACACAAAATAGCATAACTTCAGTGCTCTGGATATTTCTGTTTCCTGTCATTCAATCTCTGTTCCTTTTACCCTGCCTTTAGCCTTTCCATGTATATTCTAAATCTTGACTAAATATTAAAAGATTCAAAAGATCTGAAGTTAAAAGGCTCAGTGTAATTCTACTGTGTGCAACTGTCTTTTGCTCTTACATTACATAGTAACAGTCCTGCCATCTTTAGAAACTGTCCTATTTAGAATAAGCTGTAATTTCATTTTATTCTTTATCAAATCGTGTGCTCTTTAATTTGACTGTGTTAATCAGCATGAATGGCCTTTTTCAGGAATTTGTTAAAACCAGGCACTTTACAGACCTTCTGCTAATGCTTTTCAACATGTTTACCTTCAATATCACAGCTGTTCCACTCTTGGCTTTGTTTTTGAAGACTGTGCCAAATGTGAAGTGCTTTGGCAATGTCTATTGATAGATTGTCATTAGTTAGAGAATGTCCCAGTCCCGTTGCCTGTCATTTGTACGTGTCCTAAGCAGGGGTGCCAGGGTAAACCTCCAGAGTAGAAAATAGTCACACCAGCCACAAGTAAATAATTTCAATACGCTGGAGTTTTCTTCAGGCATCCTTCTGGTGGTAGAATAGCTGTAGGATATTTCCTTCTTTTTTATCTAGTGGGAGATGGGGGTGATATTGAAGGATTGTATTTATCAAAGTTAGTATCACTGTGTTGTTCTAGCTAGGAGCTAGACCGCAGGACCTCCGGTGAGCTTTGGATTTGAACTTTCAGGAGCCTTGCGATATCATGGTGGATTCCATGTCAAATGCTTTTTCAGAGGTGAAGGCGTCAGCTTGCAGTGTTGAGCAGTGGTGGGGAAAAGCCTGGGAGCTGTTACTGGTGTCTTGAGGGTATCAACATCACCTTTGACAATAATAGATGCCATCACATTTCCTTTCTTCCTCTTTCCTTTCTTTCCCTGTAAATTGTTAAGCTGCACAGACGGGTGGGAGTCTTTTGCCTAAAAAATCATCTGTCTCTGGGTGGAGGGGTTAGGAGCAAACCAGATATCCCTTGAACACTATCAAAATTTACCTATACTGTGGGGTGATATTCCTTACTTTAGTTTGATTATTTTTTTAATTGCAGCAGTACTTCATACATTCTACCACTGTCTCAGCATGTCGAATGACTGAGCAACGGGACATCTTATTCAGAGATTGGTCTTCCTCCTTTTGTTTATTTTCCCATTGCCTTTTTCCAAATAACAACTTCTAAGTCATTTGCCTTCTAACAATTTATATTGTTGCACAACATAGTGGCTCTTTTCCTATCTGCAGACATCTGACAGGATTTTTTTTCTTAATCCAATACATCCCGAAGAGCAATTTGCACTTGTTTTGCAAATCTCTTCCAGACAGTCATTCTTTATCCAATTAAAAAATACCCACCCTGAAATCACTGAAGGCAAAGTAATTGAGTAACTGCCAGTAGAATTGTAATTTTTCTGAAATGTTATTGATTGCATGACAGGAAGAAAATGATGGAGGTGGGGGTTACAGCCTTGTTCTTAACACCACTTTCTGCCTTACACAGACACCACCCCTCTGTTCCACCTGGCCTTGCACAATACCTCCACCCAGGTACAGTGTCCTCTCCCTGATTTGAGGCTCTGACCAAATGGCCATTCCCACCTACGGCTCCCTTCTCAACTATGCAAGATATTGTCTGGAATTTCCAGGGCACTTCGTTTAGAGCAATGTCTGGTTGCTGGGTTACCAAACAATTACTTTTCTTCATTTTGAGGGTGGGCGATTAGCAGAGTGACAGTCCGAGGGTGCCGTTTGCTCAACATGCTAGTCGTCGTGAACCTCGTGTGGGAGCTCTTGTTGGAGCATCCCCCCACCAATTGCAGTGTGGGAGCTTGTGCTCAAAATATAGCAGGGCTGAAATCCTGGTTTGGCACTTCTGGTGTGCGCTTTTAATACACTGAACTGCCTTTTGACTGCTCTTCTCACTGGACCTACCTACAGCCTGCGTGTCAAAAAAAAAATTTGGCTGGCCTCCTTTTGACTGGAATTTAGCTTGAGCTACATATTGCTGTTGCAGCAAGTTCTCTAGTTTCTGCTTTATTTTAACGTTTTATTCTACTTGAATTTGGGGGGTGGGGCAGCTTAGATGACCCTTCCACTGGAAATTATGTGCAATTTTATATTAAAGGACTTAATCACTTGTGTGGTATCCAGATTTCCAGAGGAGTTTTACGTGTCAAGGATTTGGTTGACTCTTGCGCTGGGCATGGTATCTGAGGCAGAGTAACACTGGTTAAGTACAAATGTCTCCCACTTTCATCCATCTTAGCATGTATTCAACTGGCCAGTAACTAATGCTCCTGAAGGCCACAGGTCTCTGTGCAGAGCTACATTGGTTGAGTCACCAACCCTGGAAGTATTTAAAAGACGTGTAGGCGAGGCGCTTAGGGACATGGTTTAGTGGACATGGTGGTGGTGGGTCGACAGTTGGACTCGATGATCTTAGACGTCTTTTCCACCCTTAATGATTAATGATTCTATGTACTCGTATCACTGCGCTTTCAGTGCTACAAGACTATCATCTGCTTTGGTGTGGTGGTTCGCATCCTCTACCTTCTTACTAGGACCAACGTTGCATCAGTTATACTGAGAGACGGCCCCAACAGTGCTGTGGCATGAGAACGGTGAAGGCTCACGAGGCCCTTTGTGAGGCTAGATGGGTCTGCCAATAGACAACTGCACAGTGCGGTTGTCTATTTTGGACTGGTCTCTTGGCTAGGAGCTGTTTGGTCATGTCTGAATACTTCTAAATTTGAGATTGAGTCACTTCTGTACCCAACTGCTGCTATAGTTGTTTTAAAAGCCAGAATATTGAAATACTTGAATTGAAATAATCAATGTTTGTTTCTGGCTTACTGGAAATCTCAAGTATGTTTTCCTGTTTTTAATGCTGTAGGCAGAGAGACTCGAAGGTAAAAAAAGGCAACAAGAAATGCAAAGAAGAGAGATGTTCCTTGAAGATCAATATTAGTAAGTAAAATTTGAAACTTATTACCTAAAATTCCTTATCTGCTTGTCCTTCTGTTTTAGGGTTGTTTCTTTTTTTTTTTAATTTGTTTGCTTTCATCTGGTTTGGGGCTCAGGAAGGGTTTGGCTTCTGTTGCTGTTTTTTCACTTTTTGACTTGAAACTTTTGACTTCACGGCAAGAGGCAATGGGCACAAACTGAAACACAGGAGGTTCCTCCTGAACATCAGGAAACACTTTTTTACTGTGAGGGTGACTGAGCATGGGCACAGGTTGCCCAGGGAGGTTGTGGAGTCTCCATCCTTGGAGCTATTCAAAAGTTCTGGGCAACTGGCTCTAGGTGGCCCTGCTTGAGCTGGGGGTTGGACAAAATGACCTTCCAGAGGTCCCTTCCAACCTCAATCACTCTGTGATTCTGTGAAATATTCCAAGCCTCCTTCACACCTTATTCTGTGAGAAATTTGGTTCAGTAGATTTCTCTTAGCTTCTCAAAACATACACTTTCAAGTGAAAACTGTGAATTATAGAACGACTTTGTGCTTTCTTTCTCTAACTGAATCAATATGCGATCATTCAATCCAAGACTAATTATCAAAACAGGATCTAAATTACATCTCCACCCATTTATTTTAGTGACTAGTAAAGAAATCTAACCCACATGGAAATAATGAGGACTTCCTATATTTAAGCATAGTCCTACAGCTTAAATGTAGAGATCTGCTGTGAAGATCTGTTTCCCAAGAATACCTCCTTAATGTCAGATTTGGATATGGCTTAACTCCTGACAATTAATTCCATTGGCAGTGAAGTTCCTGCCTTGCCAGTTCACTCTACCCTATTTTTTATTTTTAACTGATCCAAACCAATTCTATCACATAATTAACACACAATGCTGTTTAGTCACCTTTACCTTTTTTATCTTTGGCTCCTGAAATAATTCACCTGTGTTCTTAGCATGATTAATTACTCTTTCCTCCTCTGTGACTTTTAAAGGAGTCACTTTTGTCCCATGCTTGTAGCTCCAGTTCCTTCATCATTTGCCCAGACTCTGTTCTCTGATGTATAGACTTCTCAAAACATGTATTTTAGTGACATGTTATCATGAGGGCAGTCAGTTGGTCCCCAGGTGGTGCAGGAGCTCAGGCTGCCTGGGCACTGAGAAGGAGACTGGCTGGCAGCCGTTCTGTCCACTGATTTAGGAAAGCCTTGTGAGCATTTAGCTGGTGTCATCTTAGGAAACCAAACTGACTGATGCAACTGAAGGTAAAGATGGGCTGTTGAGCTCCATTGCTCAAGATTATGTTCAACTATCAGAAGATTATTTGTATGTACTATGTATTGAACATACATGAGGAGGGCCCTGTAGATACTGCACCCGGAGGAAGTGAGCTGAAAACCTACCTACGGTGAATGCAATTTTGGTTAAGCAAAAACCTCCCATGCTGTACAGAGTGACACTACTGCCTTCCCTGGTCTGAAGGAATCCTCTGGTGCGCAGAGGAAGAGGAGTCTTTACCACTCGATGTTGTTGAGGGTGCATTGCTAAGATACATTGACATTATGGAGCACAACATGCAGGAGTAATGGAAAGATACTATGCGACATCTTAGATCTTGTAAAGTAACTCCATTGAAGTACTGCCGGTTATTAGAGACATGTTTGCATAAAAGTGCTTGGTATTTAAAGACGTGCTTTTGTCTACTATGCAAAAATGAGTGACTCATTACTTCCATCATCTAAGACCCTATGTCTAGAGGCGAAGAGAACAACAGGTTGTGCCCCTTTCCTCGCTGTCTCTGCTAGAGTATTTTGATCTCCTTCCCTGCTCGCTGGGAGTGGGGGGAAGGAAGGTCATGCGCTGCATATAGAGCAATGACCTCTGCAAAGTCATGGCCTGTGGAGCCATTTCAAAAGATAAGCTGCCTTGTTAGTCTGTCCTCTGTAAGCATCTGTAGCTGCAACATCACAATTTTCCTGAGGAGATCAATGCCTACCAGCAGTCTCATTAGCTGGGAAACCTTTTAAAATTGATCACCACCTCTAGCTGTATCAGCCTCCACAGGGTACAGCCCAATCAGTACCTCTCCCGTATGAAGTGCCGCTTCTATTTGATAAGGAAAGGCACTTAAGATTCTCGTGCCATTAACATACTCTGACAATAAAGTATGATGCTGCCCAGAAGTTCGTTGTTCTGATTAAATTCCTGTCACTATTAAAAACAAGAACTTCTCACTGAAATCCCCTTTCAAAGGGTGTAACGTGAAGTGAATGCCTAAAGGAAAAATTGTCTGCCACCTTGTCCACTGTCTGCAGAATACAGTTATTTCCTACCTCTTGAAAGCCTTGTTAGCTTCTCTGTGTACAACTGGCCCTTGAAAGTCAACGGTATCTGTTATCACAGTTGCTTGAGTATGTGTTTGTGTCTTGTGAGAATGAGGTCTAGACGCACATGCAGGGTGCTGTGGAAAAGTCTGCAAGCCTCTCTCTTTTGGGATCAGCAGCTCGTCTGACCCGGGAGGACTCAAGCTCTGTTAGGTGACTAAAATGGACAAAACTCACAAGGTATCTCCTAAAGTAGCTGTGTATAAAAAGCCTGAAGAGCACACAGGAGCAGACTTTGGGCTGGGGGAGTTGCTGCATGGCAGGATTGCTATGGTTTATACTAACAGAGGAGAAGCACTTGAGGGATTTATTGGTGATGGCGTCGCTGTGGTTCTGCCTCTGCAGATGCCAGATCTAGAAAATAAGGAGTACTTGTGCACTTTTCTACCGGAAACTACTTACACGTGAAATGGAGTCCTTCCTTCTGAGTAATGGTGTCTTGGATGCATTTTACACTGATGGCCTGTGGTAGAGACTGTGTTTCTGCCAGAGTGCATTAAAAGGCAATGAATGCTTGTGTAGTCCATACTCTGCAATTGCTAATCCTTGTGAGGAAAGGACTGAGTGTCCACCTTTCCAAATGGGAATGAAGAAGACGTTAGGTGGCTGGCCCGGGACTTTTCAGGACATCCCTCTTTAGTTAGGACACAAAAATTGTCATTTAAAAGGTAATGAGGGATGACTACCTCATGACTTGTTTTTGTCTGTGGCTTGCTGTGCAGGCTGTATGAATCTGTGCCTGAACTGTAGTGTGTCTTACCATATTTAAGAGGAGGGGGAATTAGCTCAAATGGTAGGATCTCGTTGGTCGTGCAGAGAAGAAATGAGAAAGGCAAAAGCCCAGCTAGAATGCAATCTGGCCGCTGGCGTTAAAGACAACAAAAAAAGTTTTTACAAATATATTAATGACAAGAAGAGAGCCAAGGAGAATCTCCATCC